AAGATTTTTAATGTAACATGTAGAGCTTTTCACGCTGTATCTTCTCATATACCATCCTTTTAAAATAAACTTAATAGATGATGAACAAAAAAGATACAAACCTCCACCATGCATTATGAAACACTCGTTAGCTTTGAAATTTGGGTACTTTTTATGTGTTGGATAATCTTCGTATAATTTTTTCCCTTAACTTTCTTCAGGAATGCATTTGATCACTGTATTGCAGAGAATTTCACGGTGCATCTTTTGGAAAAACAGTCAGCTCTATAGGGCACAAAGAAAAAAAGTTATAGCTAAAACATTGAGAGGGACATTTATCCTGGCGCACCCGTTATTTTATAATTGCTTTTCTTAATGAGTAAGTAAAATAATGATGAGAAAAACAAAATGGACGGCAAAATAAACGAAATAAAGCAACAGCTGCTTCATTGCGTTTCACATTTTAATTCTAAAGCAGTCATACTGGAAGTTTTTTTCGTTGATGATAGACTTCATCGAGTGATACTACTTTTCTTTTTATGAGATACATAAATTAAATGCGTTATAAGACAAATCAATTTTCATTCTATTTCGAAAGTGAAATAATGTTTCATTTGATTGATTATATTGATACATAAAACTGAATTTTAGTTTAAAATATAGTGAAACTTGTAATTTATATTTATACATATATGTATTTATATTTATATAGATTTTTTTCTCTCGCTCTCTCACTCTTTCTTAAACATACTGATTTTCATTTTCGAAAAAGATTAACAAAATATTCGAAATAATAAATTCATGTTGTCAATCTCACTCTTTCCGATATTATTCCAGTAAAATTATCAGTCATCTCTGCTCAACATTCATTAAATTCCATTTAAAAAGACCGACTTTGTTCGTTTCATACACTAAAAGCTAGACGTGATTTGAGATAGACGATCTCCTAAGGAGTCACCTATTGATCAAAGGTTTACGATCATATAGTATACTGACGAAGACATACACCCACGCACACACGCGCACAAACGAAAGTGAGAACGAATACGTATTCGAAACAAAGAACGATGAAAGAAAAGAGTAAAACAAAAAAGTGTTTTAAATAACAAGAATATTAAGTTGAAGAAAGATTTGATGATGAGGGTGGTGGCGGTGCCAGTGGCTGTGAAGTAGTCGATAAAGTTGGCTGTTGTCCTAGCGCGGACGGGAGTGATGAAACAGCAGCGGTTGGTATCGGTTGACTAGGCGTTATTGTAGAAGATAAAGGAACAGATGAAGCTACAGTCGTCGTAGGATTCGATGAATCACTTGCAGATGATGATCCGACATGCAATGGTACATATTGAGCACAGATTTCACTAGGTACATGTTGACGGAGAAATGTGTTTTCCTGTTCATAAGCGGTGGCTTTTTCGGTTAATGTTTTAATTTGTTGACGTAATTCAGTCACTTCCTCACGAACAGCGGATAGCAAATGCATTTTAACAAGATCCTAAAAAGAATTAAAATATTCATTTTCAATATTGCAAACTATTTCTCGAAAATACTATGTTTAAATAACTCAATGATGACATCAGTTGATTATGTTTAATCTTATGTGAACATTTCTGATTCAGCATGATTTCGATTCATTGAATTTGCCGGGAACAATTTCTATTGCTTATTTTGATCACGCTTTATTTTTCGATGCTAATATTTTCTCCATGAATAACTGGCCTTGATTGATAGAATCTATCTCTTAAAACTCCTCTGCAAATACAACGACCTCATAGATTGTTTATACAACTCAAATGTCAATACTATTTTGTTTTTCTTTCCACAATAGTCATGCAAATAATAACGTGAATGCAGAGATTCATATCATTCACGTATCTCTAAATGTCAAGATTTCCAGGATCTACGCAGATATATCAATGTACTCAGCAAATAAGATAAATTTGTGCTTTCTACGACACGCGTTGACGGACGTATATCAATTTCAAGAGAAACTCACGGGTTTTTTCTTAGGCGATGACGCAAACATCAGCAACTTTTTTGGCGTTTCTTAATGTATATTGTACCCGCACTAAAAAATGTCATCAGGACGAGCTCGGAGATATCATACATTGTACAAAACTGATGGGTCTCTATTACTTTTGTATAATAAAAGGAAACGTTTTTAGTCAAACTCTAACTACTAGAAAACGAAAATAAATTCTCTTTTAGTTTTTTTTTCGAGTCATAATAGATATCCCATTTGAATATATATTTTATTAGTTTCTACTTACCATGGCTGCTGAAATTTTATTATCGATATCAGTTGAACTAAAATAGAAGAAAGAAAAAAACAAATAAAACAAACTAGTAGTATATATATATATATATATCATGCCAATATCACTGATTAAGATGAGCAAGAGAAGAAAAGCAAAAATCGAATAAATTTTAAGCGTGAATAACAATTAAAAGTTTTGTTCTTGCCCTATATATATATATATATTTTCTTTTAGCACAGCATTGAACCATGAGAAAAAAAATTGATATAAGCGTGAGTGTCATTCTATCAATTAATTGCTAGTCATTTGAATTTTTATTTATCTGATGATATTTTGTTGATGTACTTTTATTTTTCAAGTATATTAATGCATATGCGATGCAAGAAAGATAGATATTTGTTGCATTCAATACCTGTACTTCCGCCTATTTCTATAACGTCCTCGTCTCTCTGTTACACTGAAGCTTGAAAATTCACCGAGAGCAGTAAGACGATAAAGATATTAAAACAGGATTTTTAACATACTTATTTTGTTTCGTTGGTGTTGTGAGCTCTTTGAGAATTTTATTGGTTATTTCAGTATTTTGACTGTTCTCACTATTCAATGTATACATTGCAGCAGCAGCTGTATCAGTAGTTTGAGATAGATTTAATTGTGCGCCTGCCCCTGTTAATGCCAATATATCGTTTAACGAAGCTGTCGTTGCTTTATTTGGACTGAGTAAATTATTAGGATTAGCTGCTTGTATTGTTATAGGTGACATGAGCGAGTGTGATGATTGTTGAGCATTGATAAATGCAGGCGACGCTGACAATAAATCAGTGACATATGTGGAATTTGTTGCTCTTAATGTATCGTTAGTAACATTTTGGCCCGGTATTGTTATAGGTCTCGTCTGATTTATTTGTGCTGCCGTTGTTTTTGATAGATCAGGATTAGTAGTATTAGCTACTGTTGTTAGAGGTTTTGCTGGTGCTGTTGTGTTTGCTGTTGTTACTTTCGGTACCATGGATGGTTGAACAAGATTTTTGGTTGATGATGCATCTTGTTTAGGGGAAGTGAGTATAGGTGCTGATTGTTGCGTTTGTGGTTGTCCTGGATAGGATTGTACTTGTTGTTGTTGTTGTTGCTGCTGTAACTCAGTCATATTATTCAGAATAGTTTGAGCGAGTGAATTCGGTCGTGCTGGCGATGGAATAATTGTTCCTGGTTGTCCAGGCTGCGGATAAGGTGCGATAGTTGTGTAAGATGATGAATTATTCGGTGGTACTTGTGAAAGATATGTTGAATGGGGATGCTGACCGGCATACATAAAAGATCCTGGAGGAGCGCCTAGTTGAGCATTTTGTAAATAATCAGCAGTCAGATTTGGAAATGGGTTACAAGAGATCACTGGATTTTCACTGGTTCCATCTGGAGCTAAACGATATTTAAAAAAATAAATCAAAGAATATAATGTTTATTTCACTTCGATGAAATATTGTGATCGAGATTAGATCAAATATATAACTTTACCTGTATCCGCAAGTCGCATAGGATCACCGAGATTTCCAGTTGGTATTTGAGGTGCTTGCTGTTGAGGCTGTGGTATTGGCGCAGGTAGATAAGAATTCGTAGCAGCAGCTAATGCAGCCCATTGTGCAGCATATGGGGAATAGGGCGGTAGAAAAAATTGATAATAACCAAATTGAGGATGACCTGGTAGAATATATGGTTGATTTGGTCCTCCCATATTAGACATTGCTGTGGGTGGATAACCAGGAAGGAGACCAGCTGGTGGTGGAACATTCGCTGCTGGCACAATTGTTGCTGGATTATTCATTGCTAATCGCTGTTGTTGCTGTTGAAAAGCAGCTGTAGAAGACTAAATTTCAAAACGAAGAGCTTTCATTGATGTATACACACGAACACATGACAAAGCTGATAATTCAATTCTACATATTTTATGTAACATTTTTTTTAATGATTTAACAGTGTTTAAATTTGGTATCTATACACCTCATCATTTTCCTTTCGATAGTGTTTCAAAAAAATAACGGAGGTGCTTACAGCATTTGTTGCGGCAAGTGCTGCTATTAAAGCAGCATTAGGATCAGTCTGTGGAACTAGTGGCACATTAGATGGTATTGTCGTTATTGTTGGTGCTGTTGCTAATGTTGTTGGTACAGTAGATGACGTTGGTATATTGGAAATGTTTATAGGCTCATTTTCAACAGTATTATTCACCGGTGGATTAGTTGCAGCTGCCATGTTTTCAGGTGGCTCATAATCATTTACTTTCCATCGGCCACGTACAAAATTTCTATCAACACGAATCATTTGAAAACGTGATGGATATATTGATTCATCTGTAGAGGTAACAGATGATGGTGGTGGTGGTTGTTGTTGTTGTTGACCAGCAATAGTTGCCTCGTCATGATTAACAATTTGATTTGTATGTGGTTTATCGATATTGACGACATGAAATTTGCCAATCAGTTGTTCATTATTAGTTGCCGAATGATTTACTGTTGGTTGACCATTCATAGTGTTTTCTTTTTCTTATTTCTGTTTCTTAATTTACTGGGATTAATAAGTAATAAAGATTAGATACATTGATAATTTTACCATGTTGTAAAATTTATATTGTCTGCAAAATTAAAAAAAAATCAATTTAAAATGATCAAAAATATTCATTGCACAGATTTATTAAAAATTGAAAAACGAAACAATATGAAAAACTCATTCTAATAGTAAAATATTACTAAATTGCGTAGGAAATATTTGTTTAATTTTATCTAAATCAAGAAAAAAAAATAATCATAAACGTATTTCTTAATGTAAAATGCGGAATATTCACCACTGATTTCTTTCAGATTAGCATTTTTTTGATTAATCATTATTAATAATTCACGCATATCCGATCGTTTAGCTATTATCCAAGGATCATTCTCACGTTTGACCATTATATCACCGGACGGATGAAACCTAAAGATATGCCGATAATTTTCAAGTGTGCTAAAAATCATCAACTCAATCGTACCATTGCAAATCTTCAGCAAGTGTATTCATAATACTGATGAGAATATTATTTGTTGGTTCTCGATTCCAATCCATTGTTGATGAATGTGCCATATTCATTTTATTGAAATAAATATTCTTTACACTAGGATCTGTTCTATATTATAAATATATATATATATATTTTCTTTTTCTTCTAACCAATATAATATAATTTGAGTACAAACGCTGGATATTTTTTTCGTGAACATTCTTCAAAATAAGGTAAGATTTCATCGAGATCTTTCTTTAGTAATTCAATTTTTTCTAGTGTTTGCTCCATATTAGACAGTTCTTCATCTGCAATAAAAACTTAACAACAATATGCAAATGAATAGGCACTTACCATTATGAAAAACACAGAAAATAGTAAACCAATTGAAATTTATAGCAACTATTTGATATGGTAATGATAAATCACCGAGAAAAAGTTCTTGACTAGTCAAGTTTGTTGATACAAGTAATGCATCAGTTGGACTTGCACTTGATTCAACTGTTAAATACCTATAAAATGTTATATTTATACGGATGACTTACAAAAAAAAGTCAAATGAGATAATGATAACATATGATGAATGCACCTTTTGCTTCTAGAAAGTGCGCTTTCTTATGAAATAACCAATGAAAAACTCAGTCGCATAGCCATTTTTCATTTTCTAGTCTTTAAATGATTGGAGAAACTATCAAGCTTTAATTCTCAGGAGAGTTTCAGTATTACACAAGTCTATGAAGAATTGTAGAACTGAAAATGTTATTTGCCCTCAGTTTGTGTTTTATTTCGAGATTCAGAGTTAATTAAATAGAAAAGCTTAATTGCCTTTAGGCTATTGCCTAGAAGATGAACTGGGAAAGGCTTTAATATTTGACATAAGATGTGATGCGCTGTAAATGAAATCGTTTCTTACATTTCATAGTATACATAAAACTTGGTCTGAAAATCCTGATTCGTTTATTTTATCATAGAATTGTCTCGTGAGACAATCTAACACATTCTCTAAAATAAGTTTCGATTAATCTCTCCTGTTCATAGAATAAGAAAGTTATAGGTGCGAAAGTGTCGATCAAATTTACAAGAGTTAATTAGTATTACATATTAATTATCAATAATCAGCATGGCAAGCGAAAACAACCCATCTATTAATCTTTAACTTATCAAAAAATTGAATGTGGTAATGATTGTCAATGCCAGTGTCTAAGAATAAAATTGAACGATTCTGTTAGTTATTATTTCAGTAGGAGTCTTTCAATTCATAGAAATCTAAGACTTTGCCTATGATCAATTAATGGATAGGACATTTAAAAAAAAGCATTTAAAATAATGTCGCCATGAAAAATTGATTGCTTAAGCTACGTTAGGGATGCACCAGTACCAGTATTACTGGTTGTATGGGTGCCAGTATTTCTAGTTTGCCAGAGTCATTGGTGTCAACATGCACTAGTATTGGAGGTGTTAGCTAGTGGAACTCTCAATACTGGTGTGTGTTGACACTGATGATACTGGCAAACTAGAAATACTGGTAGTGGTGCATCTCTAAGCTACGTGTAGTCTCTAATGTTATGTCTAGTGACCTAACCGCTAATGGTTAATTGATAGACGTTTCTAGGCTGAAAAACTTCTTGTTTTGACGAACGCAATTTTCTGTTTTTCTCTTCACTCGTAAGGATATTTTCACGCGAATATTTATTACGCAGAGCAAATAATGACATTTCCAAAGCATGCTATTTATATACATTTTGTCAATGGTAAAGGAATATTTTGAATAGACATACTAAGCTTATTGAAAAATGCTCACAAAAAAAATACAATTTATCTATTATGATAGATAACTAGCTCAAATACTCGTGATAACTTCGATTCAATGAAATCTATAAAAAAAAAAGATCTATACGATCTAGGGGTTTAAGCATCCCGAAGAATTAGAATTCTCCATACTTTTAAACACATGACAACAATGAATCGCCTTCTCATTTTAAATTAGTAAATCTGATAAAAAGATTTTTAGAAATCATATTCTAAATTTTGCTATGCATCATATATTTCTGGAGGTACGAAATCAAAATTCTGACATTTCTCCTTACCGTATAGTAGATGTGTTCAATGATGATTTCAATTGTGGCCAATAATTAACTCGAAAAAATGAATAGAGTAGACTAGTATCATCTTGGTCAAGACCACTCCTAGAAAATTTTAAAAAAAATATATATATATATATGATAAAAATACAAACAACAGAGATTTGATATACCATATAAGTTGATTTCTATAAAGAAATAATGTTTCTTTCAATGCTGCAAAACGTAATTCCAATCGACGTATCAGCGATTGAATTTTTAGGTAGACTTTTTTTTCAACTTGCAAAAATTGCACACCGAAATAGGAAGAGTCAATTGTTGTATCAAGTATCATTGCGTGTAATCGATATGCAATAAACTAAATGAAATAAGATCGTTGTAAAAGATAGGTTATGCTAACTTCAAATTTTGTCCAACAATAAAAGGAAGTAAATTTGAGATTCTATCTCTAACAAAAGACTTTTAAACGTAAGCCTTTGATCGCTGATTCGAAAATGGCTAATCTTATTTAATTACATGTTTTGACAAGGTTGTAGTTTTTTCTCCATCAAAATTTACATGATTTAGATTAGAGCGACTTAACATACTCCAGCTGTTATCATTGGCATACAGACAATTGTTTTTCCATCCGGACAGTCAATGCCTTCCTTTTGTGTATATAACCTTGCATTATCTATTGGACAGTTGAAATTCTTATCTAAGACTTGTGATAGTGTTGAAATAGTTTATTATTCATAGGAAGAAGAGACTTAAGCTTATGTTAGTCAACGACTCAATTCGACATATGAAATAGTTCATTTGTCGAAATAATGACTTACATCGACAGTTTTCAGAGCATGCTAAATAATGATAATATCAATCTTATAAGCTTTTTTTTCTTATAGATAATCGAACACAATAAAAGTTTTTGATTGCACAGAAATTGAGATCGCGCTACAAAAAGATAAATTATTTTTTACGATTGAAAAAGAACTGATGTTCACGTTATATCTTTACGCAAAGATCAAAAACACTATGGAAATATGATGTAATTGCACTTTCACTTGAAACTAGTTTCGAGAACGCATATTAAAAAAACAAAAAAAAAGAGAGAAGCATTATATTATGCACCACCTGTTTCCTTTTTCGCGAACACTAAAATAATCAGTCGTCATTAAACAACCCTATAACATTCTTCGTATATATAGAAATTCGGCCTTGACGTACAAACAATTCGAATCACAATACAAGCAAATGAGTGACTCATAAAGTAACACATTCACAACCAGTCAATCTCAACACTGTATTCATTCCATCGAAATCAATCATTTTTATTTTTTCCTCTATCGATGAATCGACACATAATTAACGCATCTATTTACCTTATCAAAATATTTTTTAAGAATGATTCTGCATTGATCGACACCATTAACTTGAATTAACGAAGCAATCGTTCCATGTTCTAACTTGATAAAAATCATTGAAGTGCATAAATTATCATTATGTTATGATTATAACTTACAACAAAATATCTGTAGGATATTTTTAAAACCGATAGCATCAGTCTATCATTAATATGTTCATCATAGTATTCCATAATTAATTTTTCATCTTTTTTCCTTTCAATGCTTGGTACATGAAGTGTCTTAAGTAAACAAATAAACATTACGAATGTTTAAAGAACATGAATCCAAAGCAAGTTCTTTCGTATTACCATTGCAATGCAAATATCATTTTCAACTTGATAAAATAAAAGACGAGTCTTTTGAAAATGTACACAATCACACGGATCATTGAAAGCAAATGTTCTTGAAGAAATAAAGTTTTTTTTTCATTATGTTAAATAGATAATTAATTTAATAATTAACTATACTCAGTAAATTTCACTAAGCCTTCACAATAACCAACTGTGCGCGTTTGTCGGTTGAATTCAACATCAGACGGATAATAATAGAGAATTTTTTGATGCTCCTATGAAAATTAGTTTCATTATATATAAAAAAGAAAAAGAAAATTGTTATTTTTAGATATCTAACCTGCCCTTCTTTTTGACATAGTAATGGGCAATAAATAAAATAATCAACAAGATAAATGCTCGACGAGATCGGTTCGTTGCTTGTTGTCATCTGATATTGAATATTATTTATTGAAATAAGCGCAACTCGTTGCTATTTTGACTCTCGAGAGAATTCGATCATCAGTGTTGCTTTTTTTTTCAAAAACAACACTTGGACTTTGTGTTCATTTATTTTAATTGGATACTCGAAACGAGAAATAGAAATGCTGAAACATGCCACCTCAAATAGAGTACGTCAGCAAGATTGATTATTAACTACATCTATCGAACAGAGAAGTATAGAAGCATTTTTACACTTATTATCAATAATATATTAAATGATTTGCTCAGATATTATAATTAATCATAAGTTAGTATCGAAACAAAACAGAGTTTATTGTTTAATTGAAATTTTTCTTTTGATATATCATTTAGATTGAATGATATTTTTAGATGTAAATTTTCATCCGCAATACTCTAAACATTCTCAAATTACTATTTGAAACGCATAATTTAGAAATTCCGCTTGACTTATTTGTTAACAAGCATTTCCTAAAAAGTTCTTTCGAGTGATTCTAACTGCTAAGAAATTCTTCTAGGTATTAAAATAAATGAATATTTTCTGTCCTGTATTATGAATTAACTTGTGATTGTATGTAAGTTATAATCATTTCTATCGACAATACGAGTCGAATGCTCTCGGCTGTTTTCCAGATGCGTGCCTTTTCACCGTAAATGCAACGTATTTACAAATAGCAGCAATCGCGATATACTATTATTTGTTGGAAATAACACAGCAAGACATTACCACATGTTGATGAGCGTGACAAATAGTCAGAAATGACTTTATCATAAGCGCAAAAAGATCCTATTAGTAATTTGCGTCGAACAGCGATGCTGATAATAATAACAATATTAAGTCAACATACAATATCTGACAACTAATCAATGATATTATCTTCTGCCTATAAAACTAACGGACACGGGAAAAAAAAAATTCGAAGATAATTTTAATAAACACAAAGTTTCGCATGTACGAATAAGATGAAAAGAAATGAAACGATTTATTTAGTTATTTATTTTTTTTCTAATCTTTTTATGATTAGTCAATAATTGAAAATATCTAATCGTTAATCCTTTTTTTTTATAGTTGATCATAAATTTCTTTACTATGATTTTGATAATGAACTATACCTCTCTACGAAATTTCTTCGTTGTTATAAAACTGCTAAGATCATACCTGTCAACATGATCATTTGTATTTTTATCGACTTGATAGCATTGAGAAGAGTTGTGTTTGTGCGCATATATAAAATCGTTGTATTGAATAGAAATTTTGTTGTAATGAAAAGCCGTTTAAGAAGTCGTCAACGATTGTCAACGCCACAATTAGAATATTTACCACGAGAAAAATTAGGACGTACAAAACGTATATTATCTTTAGGAATATCACCATCAGAAAATGATAATTATATTAATAGTTTGGATAATAAACAATTAGTACAAGAAATAGATGGTCTCAAGTATGTAATTGCATCATTCTATAGAACTATTTCTTTTCTAAATTATCAATTGAAGACAAGAAAATGAAAAACTACGTGCGGAAAATTTAATGTTTGCACATCATTTACGACGTGTTAATAGTTCGAGACTTATGGAAACATTTGAACAATGCGCAATTGAAAATGATATTATTGACAAGGAAATTAGTATTGATTCGATAAGAAATGCTATTTCGAGTAAATTACCGAAAGTAGCACGACGTTTATCGAGTAACTATTATGATTTACTGTTGTTTCTTTTTATTCTGAAATTTGATTTGCTGCTATTGGTATTTTTAGTGCGACGAGGCTCAACTGATGCAACAAAATCGATGAAATTATGGAATAAATTATTGACGAATTGGCATGAAACTGTTAATGCACCACGTCTTTTACGAGTTGAACAAGAGAAACTATCGATAGCTGCATATGAAATTGAACAAACACAGTTAGATTGGCAAAGAATGACAACGAACGCACTTCTAGCATTAGACCGATTAGATGTGAGTTAAGAGAATTTTACGTATACAAGTCGTGTCTAAGTTAGACTTTTTTTTGAGTCATTTTACAAGAGATCAACAATACCATCCTTAGTAATTTAGTTTAAATTACTTTTTCAATTCAAAAAAATTTCGCAATGCATTTTTATAAGTTAATACCGAAATACATTAAGAATCAAGAATTAAAAACTTTGATTTTCAGGAGTCTTTTTGAATTTTCTATTCACCTCAGATCACAATAGACATTGAAGAGCATTTAAATAGACATAGATTTCTGCAACATTGAAAGAGATAATAGTTGGACTAATTATCATTGAAAGACTTGAGCGTAATTTTCGGAAATGTCACGTTTTCCCCCTTAAAAACCACTTAGCCAGTTCATTAGAGGCATACTTGAATTGTAAATGAGTTTATCAGATGATGCTAATTAAGAAATGAAGTACGTCATTAAATCAACGAGATTGTGCTTAGCGTAGAGCGTTGGCGGTACTATTCTTTGTCAGAAGAATCCTCATGATCTTCACCTACAAGAACTCCATGGGTGAAAAACACATTTGAAAATTTTTAACTTAGGTGCAGCATTTATGTGAAGAAAAACCAACGGATATGAAATGGAAATCATGCTAAAAACTATATTTGTGATGAAATTTTCAGCAAGACTGAATTTCAAAATATGATGTTAACAAAAGTAGTTTTCCATGTATATTCTCTGTTTGCAGAAGGTAAAGATGGCCTTTTATTTTTCTATCATCATGAAATGACCCACAAGAATATGAACTATTTTCAATTCATAACTATATTCGTACTCAGTCTTATCGTTCACCACTGACAAACTTTATTTTTAGCGAACATTAAGCCTCCTCAAAAATACTAAACATAGATATATTGTCTAGCCTGAAACGTTTCCTACAAATTGCACTATTCAGTATTGACAATGTATATTTATTAAAGAATATAATGTACATCAGTAACTCTGTATTTTCAGTCAGTACTACTAATGTATGTATGTCCAAGTTGTTGATAGTATTCAGACTAAATTCAGTGCAATAGATAACGACCATTCAGATTTTTATGAAATTAAGAAAAATGTAATATTCAATTTCAGTACTATACTATTTTAAAATTACTCCTGTAGAGAAACTAGTTGTGGTTAATTTTTGAAAAGCTAAAAATCGAGACAGATCCTTTTGATTGTGCTCGGTCATATGAAGCATGATCGTTTATTTTTTTTTATAAAAAATTCTTGAAACAATACGAAGCAGAAAGATATTTGATAAACTAATTTTATTTAGGTTATTCTGCGTACCGCTGAATCTGATATAATTGCTGAACAATCACTGCAACTTGATTTAGAAAAATATATAAACCAATTTAAATATAACACTAACGAAAGCAAATTTAACAGTGCACGTTGTATCGTTCCAGCTGACATTCTCATCGGTCGTATCAATAAACGAATAGAACAGCATAAGCGTCTAATTGGCTATTTAAATATCGACACTCAATGTGCACAAGTACGTATTCGAACTGTTGATGCTCAACTACGAGAAATAGATCATTTACATGAAAAAACAGATGAAATCGATATTAATTTTGTTCGAACAAAAAAAATCGATTATTTAGACACATTTAAAGACCTTGATAAACAATATAAAATGGATAAATCCTCACAATATCCATTATTACGTGAGTTGCAAGAATGGAAAAAAAGATTATCGGAACAAGAAATGTTAAAAATTAATGATGACTATAAATGTGAATTATTAGAAAACTATTTAGAAACAATGAAGAACGAATTTGATTCTTTTCAAAAAGAAGTTGAATTGATTTCGAATGAAAATTATTTGTTAAAAAATCGAATAGCCGAAGTTAAAAAAGCACCAACGATAACAGAATATGCTCATACTATTCAACGAACAAAACGATTACAAGATAATATTGATGTTTGGACACAAAGAGTTAGCATGGCTGAAGTATGTTTCTAGCAGATTTGAAACTTTCAAAACAGATCGATTTAAACTGCGAAATGTATTCTCCAATGGGATAGTAGCATCAAAAGTAAAAGCTTAACCATTTTTTTTCTTGTATGGTATGCATTTCAATCAGTTGTAGACAAGTCTATCCAATGAATTGTAAGGCTAAAGTTTCGGAAAACGAAATAATACTTTCTTTAAAGTTGACAATTCTCACAAGGACAAACTTCGTTTTTTTGCGAATATTTTGAGCTTTCATCTTGTCGATAATTTTTGAAATCTTTAAAATAGTATACCTGAGAGTCTTTAGAGATCTCATAAATATCTATTTAGTTGTCCTGAAGTCTTAGTTTCATAGTCCATTTGTTGAGATAAAGTTTTTTTCTTTTTTTTCTGTACAACTTACTTAAGTTTCTAATGCATTTTCAATCAATAGGTGATATTGTACTGTATAAATGTTTTACTATTTCCTTTTAGGAATTAATATTAGATAGAAATTTTAATTGATTATATAAATCGTTTGCTTTAATATAAAAAAAAATGTTTCAAATCAAGAATATATTATCATACAAAAATTTGATCATATTCGAATAAATATATTTCTATAATTCTAAATGAATAGTATTATTTTCTTTTCTACTAGACATTTTTGTCACAACTGAAACGGCAAACAAAATCACCAAAAGTTCTGCCACCGTTACAGGAAAATATTATGGATCGCAATCAATCATTACCGCTTCCAATCGAATAAGCGCCACTCGTATGTCGTGGTTGTGCGCCACCACCAGCTGCATTAGCACTTTCTTCAAAAGGTTTTCCATCGGAATATTTTACTTTAATTCCACTTGTTAATGTATATTGAACTAGAACAGGTCCGCGAGGTTTTTCTTTAAAACTGTTCATACTTTCTGCATGCGTCGTGTGCGTATCTTGATTATGCGTACTACGTGATTTGCCATTATTCGTGGGAGATCGTTGTCGTGTTGTTTTATTAATAACTGGAAAAAATATATCATTAACTTTATTTGGTGGAATTGCGTCAAATGTTTTCATTCTTTCATTAAGTATACGTTGAGTTTTCGTCATAGTTGTTAAATCAACTGGGGTTGATGGCGGTATAGGATGAGTTTTTGACATGACTGTTACGTTTTTTCTAGATGATGAATTTTTATTTGTTGACGCAGACGAACGTGTAGTCGTTTTAGCTGATTTATTAGCACGCTGCTGTTGCTGATAAAGATTTAATTGTTCTTGCAATCGAGCAAGACGCGATGGATGTGTTTTAATTAAATTCATACGAAATAAATATGCTTTAAAACCTGCATAATAATAAACAAGTTTTTCTTTAATTAGCACTGTACGTGCTTCTTCTAATGATGGAAAATCATTAACATTTGATGTTAAATATTTTTGTAATGAACGTACAATACGTGTTTGTAAATCAGTATTGGTAAAATCGAGACGGCAATTAAAAGCATTTGATGTTACATTAGCTTCAAAATATGTTTCAAGAACATAACGAACTTTTGCTTGTAATATTAAATCATTTGATATTTCTTTTATACGATTAGCATCAATACAAAACAAAAAATCTTGATCTATATATGGAGCTTTTTTTTCATCTACCCAATGTGTTAAATAGGCATAGAAATAGTAGAAGCGTTCATTAAAACGACCCATAGTAGCATCGGTTATTAATTGCAATAATTCAACATAATGTTTTTTTGTTGTCTTACCGGTACCATCACTGTTGGATGCTAATGCTTCAACATCTGGATCAAATAATGCACCCATATCATCGTCATCACCACCTCCTCTCCTGCCATCATTTACATCGTTAAATAATATGGTTAATTCATCGTAGGACTTTGAGAGAAAATCATCTATGGAGTCAATTTCAAATTCTTGTATACGTTCATTACAATAACGAACAAACTCATCTTCAAACGCATTATGAATTTCACGATAAACATTTTGAATGAATTGTGAATCTGGACGACCGTCATTGATAGCTAATATTTCGGATTGTTCATCGCTCAGGGGAAGAATACTTCGTTTTGAGTTGACATCAAAATAAGTTTTTCTTAAACGATCAAGTTGTTGTTGTTTTTCATATGAATTTGTTGCTTCCATCCACTAGAAGGAAAAAAAACAATAGAAAATATATGTTTACACATTCGACACAATTCCTAATCTTTGCGAAGTATTTAACTGTCAGGTGTTTTTTATTTTCTCGACGTCATCAAAAAGAAAAGATTAAATTTCATACTTAATCGAAAATTTAAATAATTATTTCGGGAACTCGAAATCTTTTTTTACTGATCAAATATTTACAAAAATAAACGAGGAAACATCGGATTCGCATCCGATTGTTATGTGCACTGCAAAAGCTGAGTCGATTTATAGATGTTGTGAATAATTCTAAGAAAAAAAAATTTTTGGTGAAAAAATCTCTGTACCCCCTCAGAGATGATCTGGTCAATAATGACAGTTTTTTCGATAACTCAGCCATTACTTGATGGATCCTTCTCATCTTCGAACTCGACCGAGATATTGATGAGACCATTCTGTGTACAAAATTTCAAGGCAATTGGATGAGGCTTTCAAAAGTTATCGTGCCTACGGACGGCCGGACGGACACACTGACCGATTCTAGAGTGTACTAACTTTTTGAGTAGACAAAAAGTGTATGGCACGTAAGTAAACACTAATGTATGAAAGTACATTAAAATACTCGAATCGGGATCAATATTTTCACTTCTACATAGGGGAATACAAAATCTTCTGAGAGAATAAACAATCACAACTTTGCATCTCAATGTGATAGATACTACCCTTTCCCGTCTCCGCAGATGTTCTTTAGCTTCGGAAAAAAAACAATTTTTGAAAGTCTATTGCTCATTTCGAGTTGTTCCGATAGCTCCGAAGAATCTTATGAGTTGTTTTTTCTCTTTCAAATATTAAATAGACAATAAATATATTTCAAAATAGAAAATACCTTGATAACTTCAAATATAAAATTTAGCTTCTGCTCGAATTTTGTTGGTGCTGTTGCGCTTGACTTTGTAAAATGTTGGAAATCAGTCAAGAATAACCGTTGAGAATCTTTTGTCATCGTTGCGGTTTTACTAGGTAAGACTCGATCAATATAAACTCCTGTTTCACGTCGACGCATTTGAGCGGTTTTTTCACTATTTGTTGTTGCTGATTTTTCTTGTGCTTGTTTTAATCGTCGTTCTCGTGCTGCTTTCAAAGCTCTTTTGCGATTTTCTTCTATTTTACGTAATCGTTCGAGTTTTTCAGCGCGTAAACGTTGTCGTTCTTCATCCGTCATGGCATTTTCTAAGGCTTCCATAAAACGTTCTTGTCTTTCTGTGGGTGCCGATGGCACAAAACGAGTTAACCATGGACGTTTTATATAAATCGTATCGTGCGATACTTGAATTTCTGTGTTGGGAGAACACATTCGTGGCATTTGTTTCTTTGAAGTTGGCACTACTCGCTTTTGTTGTTCACCATGTTGTTCACCTTCATCTTCATCTTCTTCGTCCTCATCCTCGTCACTTCCAATGATGGACGGCGTGGGCGATGCTGTGAGATAATAGGCAGCCGTAAAACGATCGACATCCTCTTTTATACAACGTAGCCAAGCATCTTTTAATATTAGTAATGCCCGTTTAAATAATGGTTCGAATGTAAGTTTATCAAATTTATAATTATGAAATGTTTCAATCCATTTCTTAATTTGAATATCTGGCATAAAATTATCCAGAGATAACTTAGCTGAATTACCTGAAAATAAAGAAAATCATTTTATAGATCCGATTGGTTTTCTTTTAAATCTAGCGGTAACGAGTTTCGCATATCTATACATCGTGAAATGCCATCTGAGGATTTTATTGTGAATATTTCATTTTTCCTACTGTTATTCTGATGCTTTGAAATATAGAAAACTTATAGGTAAACAATGTAGACTAGACTTTGCTAACTTCAGAAGGTATATCCGTTCGGTCAAATTATTTAGGATTCTTCTGATGTTTAGCAAAAATTCTCAACTATACTTTCTGTATCTCTTGAGTATTTCAAAATTTTCTTTCTTTTTGTTTTGAAAAACTACTATATGAAGCCAATATATTTATGCTCAAAGTATCGGGTTGTATCTAATACTTTATAAATATCATTAATATTATCTCACGTCGACTTTTTGTTTTATTATTTGCATCTTACCAAAATAAGTATTTAAAATCGATAGGCCATGTTGACTTTCAAGAATTTTGTCTTCGACATTTGAATAACGAAAATCGTCAACATCATAACAAAATAGCATCAATGGTAACAATAGACGTTCTTTAAATGTAACATATCGAAGAAAAAGTCCACCGGCTTGCTTGTCTTGTCGAATAATAGTTAGATATTTTCGCATAAATAAATCATTAAATGATTTTTCAATTTCATCTTCATTTTCTTCATTTTCCTCATTTGAAACAATCTTTTCATTGGTTGTATAATCATCCGAAAGAAATGCTCGTGTCATTTCAATGAGATTGCCTCGAGCTCTCTCATCGATTGGATATAAACAAACATTTGCTGGTTGTGTCATGTCTATTGGAAGACGTAAAGGTGGATGATGATCTTGAAATAATCGATGAATAATAAACCTAGCTGACCAATACATACGAAGACGACGTAAAACATCATATTGTACTTGAAGAAAAACATCGTGTGTCAATATTCCAGATGTATCCGAATAAGCGCGGCGAATTTTATTTTGTAGATGACGCATAAATGGTAAATGGTATTTACCATCGTTTAAATCTCGAAATAAACGTGTACGTGCAACAACATTTTCTACTTGATCAAGGCCAAGCATTGTATCTTTGAAAAATTCACAGTCCATCCAAAAACGATAAAGATCATAACCACCTTTGGTTGTTTGAAGAAAACGAACAAATGATTGCATGCCCTGGAATGACCCTAAATTAAAATCACTATAGGATGTTACTCTTATCTGCCATGTTAGGAAAGTATCAATGGCTTTTGTTTTCAAGGAAGTCAAAATATATCAATTGTTGTTTAGAATTTTAATTGTCGATTTTGAGCTTTCCTGTATATGCGCGCATTCACACTATTATAAAATACTATCAAGACGAGATATTTTGTAACCTTGAATCGAAGGATATTTATACGCTAACAAATGATCATCTAGCAATTGATTGTCTGTATTTATGAATAATGAAAACGTTCACTGTAGAACTTACCGAGATATTTATATTTCAGTTGATTACTTGAACTTTGTATTTCTAAACCGAAATCTCCAATATCATTATTATCATCTTCGTTGTCTGTTTCTTCAAAATATTTCATTTTAACACTACTATACATCGATAAACTATTTGGATCATTTGGATCGTCGGATGAATTATCTTCATTATCTCTTGGTAATGATTTTCGTTGACTTGTTTTCGAACTTGATGATCGTTTTGACATTTTTCCTAGTTGTCTTGGTTGTAGACTTGGAAAAAATATCGCAAGACAACTAACTAAAAACAAGCCGAAAATTGTTTTCTCGAGAACTAAATAAAAATCAACTAGCTCATCGATTTACCTAAATTAGCTGGTACAGAATAAGCTCGACTACCGGGTCTTAAAAAAGCTTTTGGCATGCGTAAAATTTCTGATACCATAATATTATTTTCAAACGTAATATTTGCATTAGCAAATTGTTCATTCTGCTCGAAATCTTGTTGTTCTTCGTCTTCTTCAAGTGTTGCTGTTTGCGCCATACCGTGTCCATTTGAATTATCTGTTGAAAGTGTTCGAGCAGCCGTATAAACACTTCTAGAAAACATTACGAAAACGAAATAAAAATATGGATTATTTTGATTTTAAATTTTTTTAAATAAAACTTACTGTCGACTATAACCACCGATACCTTGACTAGAATATTCAGATGGTTCATTTTCATTAGCTATTGGTCGTAGTATAAGTTTACATAATTTATATTGTCGATAGAATTCAGTACGCCAAAAAAGACCAAGGCGTTCAGTTTTTACCCAATCCATGATTTGTGATTGATGAATTTTTTGCGAATTTGCATGGCGTCTTTTCGTTTGTTCGGGTACTTCATCTAATTGTATGATGTCCGAAAAACCACTATAAAGACTATTAGTATCGGTATCACCTGTTTTTTTAACATTATCACCAATAAGAAGTTGCTCATTATTTGTATTCAATAGGTTATCGGAAATTTTCTCAATAAAAGTATTTAATTCGCGATTATATTCAAGTTTTTGTACAAACGTACCCAAACGAAGAAATTCATTAAAATATTCAACAAATATATCATCTAATGACAGTAGTTCATCAAAATCATGTATGGTACATGAATCGGCAAAAGATGCAGACGGTTGTTCGGGCATTTTGAGTTTGTTGGTGTGCAATGCAATGATGTTTACTTTTTTTCTCTCGAACGGAACAACGAGTAGGCAAAAAGAAAAAAAATCAAACACATATATTCATTCTTTGTTTCATGTTTCATCTCATCATGATGTGATGTGTTTGACTTCGATTGGCATGAGAACGACAGGAAAAGAAAAGAGAACAAAGCAGTTGCCGTTGCTACTTAACTGATGAGAGATTACGGACATCATTGTGCAAACTCAGTAGCAATCAGATCGTAATAAAATTGCAAAAGAAAAGAATTTTTACAATCATTCAAGATTTAAAAAGTTTCTGTTTCTGTTTCTGTTTATGCTAATTGTCAATTTATATTTGTTGATGCTGGAATACCAATAACGCATGAATCTTGTCGTTGTTTTTGTTCTAACTTATTGCTTATTGTATCGATACCTATCGACTTTGCTTCTAGGTGACGTCTTAATAAAGGTATCAACAGGCGTGCTCGCTTTAAATGCATCGCTAATGCATGTCGACTTGCTCTATGAAACCATACATGAACACCCGATGTGCTACTCATGTTTGCATCATTGATATCAAAATCAAGTACTGATGTTAAACATTGATCTAGTCTGGGTTTGCCATGTTTACCACCGCCAACAATAATGTGACTCTGTCTTTGATCAGGTCTTGATAACTGACTCCAATGTATATGTAGTGTGCAATTACTCGTAGCTTTATTCTGACAAATGTTTTCCATACTTATTTTTATTTGATTAGAAACAGCTTGTGCGCATCTCGATGGACAATAAGCGCCCATGACACGCCAAGGTAAACCAAGTAAAGTTGGATCTACTATCGGATTAAACGCAATCGATAATGTTGCTAAATCTGCACACATACAAACCATACTTCCACCAAGACTAGCACCAATTAAAATAACACGCTGATAAATTGTAGAATATAATTGTACTAAGTTACGATAGTATGTTAAACCTTCCCAGTTATAATCTGGATCTTGTAAATAGAAGCACTGAGCTGGATCAGTTAAAAATATTGCATCGAATTCATCGTTTGTATCATGATGTGATTGCTTTATTGAACCACTCCATTCTGTTGTTCTTACACCACCAACAATCATTGCTGCACCGGCAAAACTCATATACAATGTTGGTGAACGATGTGTACATGATGTATTCGGTTCAATATGTGCTGCAGAATCTCTTGTATGACACTGGCATTTTGTATTAGATGGGCAATAGGTTTGCCGCTTTTTTTCCAAACGACTGACGCGTATGCGTGTAAATGCAGAAAATTTCGATAAGAAATATCCAGAGCCACGATGGCGCTTCATAAAAACAAATATGCAAGCTAGAACAATAATAATAACCACAGGAACAATGAAAAATAAATACCATTTCCATTCGGACATGTTTTTATTCTTTTTATAGAGCTACAAAGACGTTATCATTAAATAGAAGAAAACAACACTCAAAATATTCAGCTTTATAATCGACAGCAGAGTGATTTGTCATTGGATACATACATTTACAAGTTTTTTTTATTAGTTTCATAGTCACGCTTCAGTATGCAGGTAAATATGAAGGACTGGCGCATATTTCGTTGGAAAATGAAGCAACTACGTCAGTATGATTTAAATAGAACATGAATCATCTACGAAAATATGATGAATATGACTAAAAAATGATACCAGATATTAAAAGCTTTATAAATAAATAAATATATATATATATGCGTGTATTCAACACACTACACTCTATGAGCGTACTATCTGGTCTTCTACTGCATAGATACAATTCATGATACGATACAGTAAAAATAGCGTTAATGATGTACACGTTGCATCACATGTTGATCGTGAGCAATCATGAAAGATGATACATAACAAAGTGTGGCTAATTTGCGAATAGCAGAGTTTAAATCAGATTATTTTCGAATTCCTATGATGGTACAATTAAGAAAACAATTAACTTCAGTTTAACACGTGCGTGTGAATTTTTCACCGAATACTTGAAATCATGGTATAAATCTGTGAACGTAAATCATTCGCAATGATTAAAAACATCAGTTATGAATTTTAATGGTAAACAGCTAAAGTAAAACGAAACACACAGAAGATGATTCACATGCTTGTTTTTGATTAATTGCACTAATCTAGAACAAGGATAGTGCAAAAAAACAAACCATAAATGTATCGATGGTTATTTGGATGGAAAAAATATTTTTCACCATTGAAATATCGGCAGTTATTTTGATCTGTTGTGTAGTGCATTGTCGCATGACGTGTGTCCACGTCTCGTAAAAAAAAACATATATCCCATAGCCGATTAGTCCGATACATAGAATCTTAATACCATTATAATACAGTACGGCATAACTATCGGTGATTAAAATATGAACTTAGTCAATTTCGCAGCGACGAAATTCATTTTTTTGTAATAACTTATGTTCTGAAATGAATTATAGAAAAATCTTGGCAGTTTAACCTCTCAAAATCTAAACTGAGCAAATTCATTTCATATGTTCATAAGCAAAAAATATCATATTAAGTATAAAATTTCTAATTTGATATTCATAAACAAGTTTTATTTGTTAATATTACATGTGAATAACAGCCGCTAACGAAATCATTCAGCTGTCAGTTTTTATTTTATATTCAAACGTCGACATGGGCATGATTAATTAATCACGTCCTGCAGCATTCATGATGATGAGTCAAAATATTTCGCATTCGAGAAAATGCGGCTACATGTGCGAGTTTCTCTCTGTTGGCGACTCTATTAGCTATAGGTACGTTTCGATGGTCTATAGCCAAAATCAAAAGGATTGGTGCTTGTCGAAGTTTTTCTTGTTTCGAGTATTCTTCATGCAGGTGAAACTCCTAGTAGCTAGATTATACTAGGCCTACCGAAAATACAAACTTGAAAAGCGAGCAGATAACGGGCCGAACAGTTTCGTGAAATTTCATCGTGTTTTTAAACCATTCATCATGCTATGGAATAGTAAATATTTCGCTGCATAAAAAAAGAAACCGTTTATGATGTAATTCAAGTGGCATCGAAGAAGAACACGTTAATAAAGCTTATTATAATTTAATTATTCTTGATTTTACTCTTAAAAAGAAGATTTTGTACAGTTATCAATGAAGCAATCGTTGATACTTTCAGTTGTACGAAAACTCTGCAATGGCTCGAAGTTTAGCAAAACAATTTAGACAATTTTGTATATCACCGAGGGGTGAATATGTGAACAACAAGACTTGTGCACTGGACATATTCTTTCAACAGTCAGCATTCACGTTACGAAAAACACTTGATACATGTAAATCTCTATGCACTGTATATGGTCTTGTTTCAAAAAAATAAAATATCTTATTTGAATTATGTATTTACGTTTCAACAGGCAGCAAAAATTGAAGAGAACGATATTATAAATTGAAACTTTTTCATGATTCTGAATAACGAAAACAAAAACCAATATTCTGTATTCAAATCTTTTAGTTGAACATGAATAATTTTTTGTAAAACTCATATACATGCTTCACAGTTCGTTGAATTATGATAGCACTAACAAAGCACTTGTAGAGCTTCGATCACGGCATTATCAGCATTTAGAGACTCATGCTCATTTTTTTATTTGGCGTACAAATGAACCTTTGACACCAGGAAAATGAAAGAGAAGTACTTGACGGCTTAGCTTAATCTATTGTAACACATCCATTACTTGAGTAATTCAAGAATAATAAATAAAATCTCGTGAATCTTTGGACATTTAGTTTTCTGCCACCGATCAGTACTCTATTTTTAGTAAACGACGGTTGTGCATCATTGGAGCGATTATGTTTCAGTGTCTACTGAATAAAGCACAGAATGTTCACATTTGTTTCATTAAAAAAATATTATTTCTACTAAAAGAATTTCCAGCTCTTCTACGATAAATATACAAGCAAGAATAATTTTTTTTGTTTGTTAATTCTCAATAATACATGAATTGAAATCTATACTTCTTTCTCTATAACAAAGCGAAGAAGCTAACAAAACAACAATCCTTCTAATAGAAAATAAATCTCAATTGGCAACAAACGTGAAAAGGACATTTTTCGTTTTATGTGCTTATTTACTTAGACTGCCTAGTTACGTTGTTTATACAAGCAAAAGTCATTAACAACCATGCAAATCGTTTCTTTAATTTTTTCTCTCTTTGCTATTCGATAAAACTTTAACATACGAAAGCACCGTTTACCGCTAAACACTTAAAAGCATAGAAAAGTGCTGCTTAGTAAACACAGAATGCAATACAGTATTCAAACAACAACAAAAGCAGCAGTAACGACGTGAATATTGGGTTACATTGAGAAAAAAGCTCGTTCTTTTTTAATATGACTTCGGATCCATCACTTACTTATCCAGCTGACTATTATTATCCAGAATTTATTGAGAGTCGTCCCGATGATCCATTAAAATCTCCTTCGCCTCGTTTACAAGTCACAACATCTATTGATAAGGGCATCGGTTCGACAGTAAAACCTTCTAAAAATGCTGACCGAAAAACTGAAACAGTAACTAAAACGACTTCAGCTAATAGAAATCAATCTGTCACTAACGTACCATTCGACGTTGTCACAGATCATGGTTTACCTGATACAGGTATAACACAAGCACTAAGAGCTGATCCGAAAAAGAATCTTCTACGTGATCCAGCTGCGAGAAATATTCCACGATTAATTGTTGATGATAGTGTCATTAAACAAAATATTCGAACACCGAAAATCGTAACAACCAATGGTAGTGATAATTTAGACCAAACGAAAAAATTCAATAAAACCAATAATGGAAAACAAACTCCTGTAGGTCGTCAAGCCAACGGAGATTTTAACAATAGATTTATACCTCCTGAACCTGTTCAACAATATCCGATATCTTATGTTGACAATCAACAGGCAATTGATGATTATTGGAAAAAAGAAGTTCGAGTTGATAATGAAGGTCTTGTTACGATTGAAGTAAGATTGATATGATTTATAATAAAAAAAAGAACAATTGTTGTTATTAATATTTTTATATTAGCCTATTAAATATGATAGAGAAAGTTACGAAGGTCCATTTGGCTTAACACGTCAAGGTGCTGTTATATACTATGTTGGTATGGGAATATTTACTTTACTTGCCGGCATTTTCTTAATTATGTCTGGAATATTTTATGCTCAAAGTAAATCAATTTTCGTTTCAGAAAGAAGAAATTAATCGATTTATGAATGTTTTCTGTTTTCTTAGACTATCCTTCAGGATCATCACAGACAGGTGTATTGACTGGTTTATGTATATGTGGATTTGCGTTTTATATTGGTTTACAATTAATCCTAATTGGTATATGGCATCAAAAATATCGCTACGAACATCCCAAAAAACCTCAAGCAGATATAGATGAGCGTAATGATTCCAAAACACGTTTGAAATCAGCTATGGAAGTAAATGAACAATATAATTATCCATATCAACAACCAGTTGATTATCCGCCATATGAATATTATCCTAATCCACCTTATGCTTCAAATATGAGTGAACAAATGCTATTACAACAGCCAGGTGCAGCAACAGGTGCTGCTTATTATGATCCAGTTGTTTGGCCATCTAATGTCGAAATCGACGCGCGGTCAGATGCTAGATTTTCTCAACCTACGGACTCACTTTATGGACAAGACAGAACTAGTCGAACACCAGCACATACAGCCGTTTCGCTTAGAACCACTAATTGTAAACAGATAATTCAAAAATTCTATATATAACTATATCTCATTTTTGTTTATATTCATTTTTATAGCAATGCCAAAAAGTCACCATAATAATAGTAATAAACCAGTTGAAGTTAAACAACCCAACGCAAAATTTGATAATCTTTTTCCAAATTCAATTGTTACTGAAGAAACATTACCAAACTTAACTAAAGCACCTGAGACAAATGACCTTGTAAGTGGGAATGAAGTAGACTTGATAATAGTTCATTTTATTAACAATTTACACTAGAAGAAACAAAATATGTCCGAGAGCAACTTAAAAATGTATTTTTTACTAAGGACAGAATATCTAAAAGAATGACAATGATCTTTCAGATGTAATATCACGATGAGATCATTCATAAATCAACTCAAGAGACACCTAGATGAATAATCCATATAGAAATACTTAAAAAAAAACATGTTTCTCCAAGTGTTCTGTAAAACAAAAATGACTTTTAATTGGACAAACTTTATGCATGGCTTCTTATTCCGTCTGTAAATTTATTAGCGAGAAAATAAAGAAGGTAAAGCTATACTTTCAAGAAGAAATACTATTTTGATGGTTAATTAGTAATCTTCAATTGGATATATAAAATTTGTTATATATTCCTTTTTTGTTTGTTTGCTCTAGATAAGAAAAATCATGGCACATGAAGCTACTGCTGAAAAACGTTCACCACATCGTTCTTCGAGAAGAAAAAATGCTAACCGAATAAAACCATTTGATCGAGAAGCTGCCTCTTCAATTATATCAAGTTCGAACCATCAAAGCAGCGGTTCTCACCATCATCGACGACGACGACGTCGTCATTCCTATTCGTCATGTTCAACATGTTCAAACGATTCATACGATCGATACCTGAGCGATGCTAATTTTAATCCTCGCCAAGATCAAAAACAAGATCCTACATCGCTGTCGCTAAATTTCACACCGCAAATACCAGAAACAACCACAAATAATCCCCAAAAAACAAATAAACAATCCTATCGTGATACTGGCTATGGTGCAAGAAAAACAGACAATATATACAATACAAATGCTTTAGAAGATATACCAAGTATTTTTAAATTATCGTTTTATTGAAAGAAAATTAACGCTTTTTCTTTTCAATAGATGCTCGTGATTATCGTGTTGAACAAAATCCAGTTATTCGCCGTACAGTTATCGTAGAACCACATCCAACACAATCAAATTCAATAGCAGTTGCTAATCCGCGAATAGATAAAACAAAACAGAAAACAACAGAAAAAAATAATACTAGAATGGCAACTATACATTTAAAAGATGTTTATGAAGATATGAATGAAAACGAAAATTTCAATGTAAAATCTAAGAGAATGAAACATCCTCAATAATAACAGCGACGAATGTATTTTATAACCAATTGTCATCGATTATTATGTATATTAAATTATTCTTGTTGATGATGATTGATCAAAACGAAATGAGTTAACTTTATTTTCTGTTTGTATTTATTTTATTTATTGCAAAATAGTTTGAAGCTAATGAAAGACTTCTGTCGTGTCATCTAAATAGAATCCATTCAAATTTTCTATGTTTAATAAATAATCGAATTTCAAAGAGTGACTCACTTTGTTTAGGAAGAAAAATGCTGAAGTCGTAATTCGTACTGATAAAATAAATCGCCTTTTGTTTCAAGATTCATTTGTTTTTAATGAAATCGTTTGGCATAACAAAAAACTTTGAAAGAAATAAAAGGGCAACACAAGAGTTCAATTTTTAACTGAATGCTGTGTATTCATCAACAGTAAGAAATAATATTTCAAAAAGATGGGCGATCGAACGCTTCGTCACTCGTCAAAACCTTCACCGCCTATTTTGTCACGGAACGATAAAAAATGCGATGCGATAATTAGAATAAACATATTATAGTTAAAATAAATGAGGAAACATCGGATTCGCATCCGACTGTTACGTGTACTGCAAAAACTAAGTCAATTTATATATGTTGTGAATAATTCTGAGAAAATTGTTTTTTTGAAAAAATCCCTGTACCCCCTCTGCGATGTTTAGGTGATTCGCCAATGTTAGTTTCATATAATTATTAAGATTAAAAATGAATAATGATTCTTTTAATAGTTGATATTTTAGATAGAATCAAATAATGTATTATATATATATATCTTTAAGCTCTTGTAATAATTTTCACACTCTCATAGAGAGAACACAATGTATCTACTAACTAGACGCGCCAAACATAACATAATTCAATTTCAAAACGCGACAAAGAAACAGCGATGAAGACGAGAGAGAGAGAGAAAAAGAAGATATAGCGAGAAACTCGCGCGAAATCAGAAACAAGACACGTGACGACACACAGTGCGGTCACATCCCCCTACAGTTACAGTTATCACCAGCGAAAACATCGGGAAAACATTTTAGTACTATCTTCCCCTCCTCAGTTCGAAGGTTCGGATGTGATAGATTAATGCTAGTACATGTATTTTATCCGTGAACTATTTTATTTGCTATAGATTAAAACCGAAGAAAAAAAACTTTGTATGATCAAGAAACCGAAAAACAAGAGATAACAACAATTGTTTTTGCCTTTTACTGAGTGATTACATCATAAAAAAAGCTCTCCAACTCGTATATCTCAATCCGGCATACCCCCGATTGGTCCCCTATTACGTCCCCCACCAACTCGTCCCCCATTAATTGATTCCGAATTCGTCCCCACTCTAAATTGGTCCCCAATTCTATTAAGTGGCGCTTGATTTCAAAAAATATGAATTTCTAATGTAGTTATAGTAAAGGTGAAAGACAATTTTTATCGTAAGATTAACAAGTGAATATAAACATTTTTTGCAACAATTAGAAAGAATTAAAAAATTGTCGAGCAATCACAGCATTATATCAAGACAAATAAAATATACTCGTGCAATTTCGTGAACGATGTCGCGATTCTACTTCTCTTTTCCGTTCACGTTTGAGAGTATATTGAAAACCATTATAGTTCAACACCTTTCCTGTTCGTTCCGTTGGAGTAAAACTGAGCATATTTCAATGTGTTTACAAATAAAAAATATCGATCAGTCAGCCGTAGACAGCCATTACATGCATCTTTCTTGTAGGCTGCTGGATTATACCAGAAGAAATGAATCCGATTGTCATTGTCACTAGCTGTGTATATAGACAGAGCGAAGAATGAACATTTCAATGTTAAATAGAATGGGGACAAATCCGGAGTCAATTAAGCAAAAAAAAGTATATGATGGGGACGAATTCAGAATCAATTTAACATAAAAATTCTACGATGGGGACGAATTCGGAATCGAATTTTTGGGAACCAGTTCGGTTCAATTAAAAAGGGGACGAGTTAAGACTAACCCCTCTATCCCACTCCCAAATCATCATGTAAAACTGATAGTTATTTGATTTCGTTGAGAATTGTTAATATTAGTTAGAATATTAGATTTTATTTTGTTTCTTGGGATGCGCATTACAATTACTTTTTTGGTCCTATCATTCAGCCTTTTAAATTTTATAATCCTAAAAATGTGCTAATATAGATTGCATTTTCTCATAGTACAGAACGAAATTATAATCAAAGCCACTAGAACATTAAATACGGTATTTATTGGATTGAATATCGAATAAAAATATCACTCCATTCTAGGTAATTCGAAAAATGTATGTCTATTAAATACTTAGCTTCTCCAACAGCAATATAATAGCTATGCTCATCATAAAGTCTTATGATGTAATAATGACAATAAAGGATCGACGGTTAACGATAGTCACTCAACGACCGATATCAATCGCCGTGTGACTAGGAGAAAATAATCGTTACTAAACATCGGAACATTTGTTATGTTAATTTTTCATCAAGGAAAATCTCTTTTTTTACAATATGTTTTTTTCGATAAAGTGTAAATAAAAGTTGTCGAACTCTAGAGATCATAAATCTGAATTTTTCATTATAGTTTCCTCGTAAAAATGCCTACTGATTTATAATATTTAATTTTGAGAACCTTTGATTGAACTTCATATTCAAATCATCTTTTATAAAAAAAAGACGAGGAAAGTTTTTTCTTAACGAACACAATCAAACTTACAGGTGTCGTGTGCGAGGACAATGATAAACACAATTTTCTACATCGGCGAATCGTGATCAAGATTGAATTGTATCTCAATTCAGATATTTGCTGTAGGCTTATATTAGAACAAACAATAAAATTGTAATATTCGGTTTTCTCTTAGATTCTTTTGGCATATCGATTTCTAAAAAGTGATAAAAACACGTGGATCACCTTGAATCGATACTTAGATTAGTTTTTCATGTGGTAAACTTGATGAAAAAAAACAAATGATAAAACATATTTATAAAATGTGACTATTTATGTTCTCCATGAATTATGCGTTAGCATGTTAAATCTATTTTTACCAAATCGTTTTCCGGATAAGATCAAATTCATTTATTGAATATGATTCATGCATTAGTACGAATTTCGTATTGTTCTTTTTTCGAATTGAACAACTTAGTTAACTAGAATGTGTAGAATAGTAGTATTAATTCATTTTTACTCAATATCTAACATGTACACGTAAAATTAATCAATCACAAATAAATGATTGAAGTTTCCGTCATAGCAATAAATGACGAACTAAATAAGTAAATAATCTAAGTTTGACACCAATATAACTTTTTTCGATGATCATCAAGCTTATAAAAGAAAAACCACAAAGATAAAAAGAAAACAAAACAGTAAAACTTAATTTACTAGATAAATATACGTATGTATACCATCGATAAAGTAACTAAGACGGATAAAATTACAAATCTCTTTTTTTGTGCTTCTACTTGTATTATTCGACAACAAGTGTCGGATTAGCTGCAGTTATGTTTTCATTGATTGTTAATTTTTCGTTAAGATCATCTTCAAGTGTATTAAGTTTTTCTTCGTTATTTGTTGTCGATGGATGATGACGATGATTATCATCATCCTCATCATCATCGTCGGTTGTTGCAGCATCATGTTGTTGAATTTCCTAGAAAGTATAGGTTTGTTTTTAAATTAATAAATTTCTTTTAAGAAAATAAGCCATGCAAACGTGCGAAAAGTAATATAATCAAATAAAAAAAAGAAACAATCAAACGTTCTAATTTTTGTTTTTCGTCATGCTCATATGTGGTTTTTTTTGTAACTATCATACCTGAGCGGTAAGTCGACCTGCTAATTCCTCTCTAAATTTATCTTTTGCCCATTGCATAAAATGAGCTGTATCATATGTCGTCGTCTGATGAATAATATTAATATTTTATGTTAGTCTTTATTATTCAAAACAATATGAAGAGCAAATTTATACTTACTTCTTTATTTGTTTTATTTTCAATTGGTTCAGTAAAACTATTATTATTGGTAGACTCTAGTCGTTCATCAACTGCTTCTTCTAATATAAGTTGTTGTTGAAGTTTATCAAGTGATTCGATAATATTACCTTAAAAAATATATTAAATCATATAAAGATTTTTTGTTTTTTCGTCAATATTTAACATACTATCAGTAGTTGATACATTAGAAGGTGGATTAACAAAATCGTTCGTGGACATATCATCTAAAGTTGATTCTTTTAAATTCATGCTCGTTGACAGTGAACTATTTCCACTATCATCAACAGTTTTTGCTTTAGAATTAGTATCCAATACTGGTTTTTCTGTTCCTATTAATTCACTGTTATTATCTTCCCACCATGCGTCAATAGGATCGATATCATTAGAACTATTTAATTCAATATTATTATTATTACGATTATTGTTTACATTGCGACGATTTGTATTTGATCGATTGTGAAAATCATTTCGTTGTTGAGAATTATTATTAAAACCATATTGACGAGGATCATATGATGATAATGGAAATTGATGTTTATCTTGTTGGTATGGTCGTTGTTGTGTAGGTCGTCGTCTGGGATTGGTTGCTCCCCAATGATTATTATTATTATTATGTTTTTTATTATCGTTTTCATCTAATAATTCATTTGTAGTCAAGTAAGCAGAAAGTGGAAGGCTCGTATTATTATTATTACTATTATTATTATTAATAGTAGCAGTATTATTTCGTTGATAACGACTATTGTTTGATGAACGAAAAATATTATTATTATTATTGTTTATTTGTTGATTTGATGAAAAATCATAAAATGATTGAGGCCTCGATTGAAAACAATGATCATTATTAAAACGTGAAGTTGATGAGGGATAAGTATTTTGTAAACGTTCAAAATCACCTGACATTGGTCTTTGTTGAGATAATTTAGTTTCTTGATCATGAGTTAAACGACGATAATTTGATGAAAAATCTGTTGATAAACTTTCTTGTTCTTGATGATTATTTGATGTTGATGATATAGATAATTGCGGTCGAGGAAGAGAAGATTGAAATATAGACGCCGACTGAAAAGAAGGCAAATTAAATTGTTGTTTTTGCTGTTGCTGTTGCTGCTGCTGCTGCTGATGGTGGTTAGAGTTTTCAAATGAACGTGTTGAATGATATTGATGAAAACGTGCTGAAGTTTGAGATGAATTTGAACCATTTATCGTAGATGGAGTTGGATGAGCAAAATAAATCGTAGTATTACCATTGAATGGTGATGTTTGAGTAGAAGAGGGATAAACATAATTATGAATATAAGCAGATTCTATAAAAACAAAAATAGACTTTCATTTATCTACAATTTTTAAATGATTTTCTTACGATCCATTTGATCTTCATCAGTATTAACAAGATGATCGACTCCTGTATGATGACTGTTTATGTTCGTTGGTAAAAGTTGTACGGGTATTTGAGCATTTTGCCAAAATGGCATTGGTGGTACATCAAGATGGAACTCATTACCTCCTGCTGCATGTCCATTGTTCTGTAATATACATCGACGCATTCGTTCTATAGATAAATCAATAAAACAGATGGATACATGTATATACATACTACATTCAAGGCAATCAGAATACAAGAATGTTACCTTCTCGTTTTTGTTGTTCACGTTCTTGGACTCGTTGCTGTTGGCTAAAGCGACCACTTCCAATTCGATCAGCTTAATTATAAAAATTTCAATTTATTAAAATAAAGATAAACTAAAATGACGGGTATTATATGTAAACAAACATGCAAGAAGCAAATTATATTTAGTTGGTAAATAAAGTATGAAACGAGATATTTTCTTTTCTTTTACAGATAACTTACTTATCGAAGATTGTGTTATTGATTCTAATCGAATCGATGATCTACAACGGAGCGTGCATTTCTACGTTTGACTTACTACTACTACTAATGACTGTGAATAGTACATATACGTATATTGCACTCTTTTCCTTCTGTCGATTCTGTTTGTATATCGATATCGATAGAGAAAGCGAGTATATGTACACAACAATCATCTAGGTATATGCAGCTTGTCTTTATATACTATATATACGAATTTTAATGTATTTAGGGACATTTAATCAGCTAATTTTCAAGGATTCTCAATCCCATCATGCAATATACAATTATAAATAAAATAAGTTAGTTAGCAAAAGCTTTATTCCATTAAAATAAGTATAATCTACCTTTATTGTTAACAATTACAAGTTTTTTTGCGTGTGTTGGTTCGTCGAGATCTGCAAATAAAAATTCGTTTCATACTAATTTTCGTATTCAATTAAATGTTTTAAAAAGAATAAAAAGAATAGAACTTATAATCATACCATTATTATTTTCTGATTGATAATGGAATGGATGTGCATATTTATGTAGTTCCACATTATTTGTATTATTATTATGATATTGTTTTTGATGGTTAATTTCTTGTGTACGTTCATGTTTTAAACGATTATAGTCCACACGTTGAGCACGTTGAGGTTGAATATCACAACGATCCTTTAATTTAGATGGTAACAATTTTTTGAAATTATAAAATAAAATATTTACAGCTTCAAATTTTCGTCGTACTGGTGGTCGATGCTTTCGTTCATATTGATTTTCCTAAAAAAGTAAATTTATTTTATTTATAAATATTCATAATTCATACTTGAGAATTTTGTTGATTCATTGGTATTCGGGTACGATTTTTTGTTGCCTATGAGCAAATAGATGAATGTACGCTTATAAATCCTTTTTTTTTTGTTTTTGTAACTTACGCCTTTCATAGTTATTGTATCTTTTATAGTTTCAATGTTCGTTGCTGTTGTTGACGCACCTAATCTTACGGCAAGTTGTCGGTCTTCCTCGATTTCCTTCAATATACAATTATTAAGAAAAAAATAATAAGATACTATAACGTAGAATGACAATAGGATTCTTTTCTAGCTTCTACTCATTTACAACTATAGATAATGCACAATATGCAAAGAAAAGAACTAGTATGGTAATAGGAAGAACGAGCAGAAAAAATATTATTCCAGGCCAGCAATCATAAATAATAGTTGCTGATGTGTGTATGGTACTTTCATAGCGGTCGTTGTAACTCTATACCCTTCGTTCTATATAGGCGCGTGTTCTCTATTAGAAGCAAGAAACGATAGACGAGAAAGATATTGTCACAAAAATTTCTCATTTATTGTAATGACATTCGAGAGAATATAGAACATTGAAGAAAAAGAATGGGGCCTTTACTCCCTAAATATCAATCATCAATTCTTTTCTTCGTTCTTTTTCTCTGATACACGCTTCAAATAGACAATTTGTGTATATTCAAGTGCAAACCTGATGACGCTTAAGTAATTCCAAGTTTTTAATGCGCATCTCAACCATTTTTTGGTCAATGGCCGCTATAGATACAACTTTATCCATTAGTGTTGTATCTATTCAATGAATAGATGTATTGATGATCTAAAGTAGAGAAGATAATCAAACAGTAATATATATAAATATATTCTTCAACACTCTAGTATTTATATATCATCGATTAGAAAATGAGAAGTGACAAGGTCAAAAAAAAAAAAGAAAAACTATGGTTCAATTTACCTTGCGAAAGAAGATATACGCCTAAAAATTTGTATTCCATTTATATGCATATTAGTTACAGATGATTGAAAAGTGTCACATTCATCGACCTCATTCTTTTTTTTTTTATACAGCTGCTATTTGTTCGCTTGCATATGTACAAATGACAAACGATCTTCCAATTGTATGCTATAAATGTGAGAACAATCGTTTCTTTTTTACTAATGTATGCATACAGTTGGCGACAGACGACAACAACTACACGAATAACTATTGATATCACAGTGAATCTTACTTGGGCATCTCTTTGTAACGATGTACAACAGATAAGTTATGTGATTGTGTGTATGCATTCTATATGGCAATATGGCTAACAAATAAGAGCGAAGAAAAAGAAAGTGCCGTATCAGAGAAATCTGCTGTTAATAGTAACCGAAAGCAATAAGAAGAACGTGCTGATGTTCTTTTTTTGGGATAGATAAATGAGTATATCAACAATCAACACTCAAAATAATACTCATTGCCATTGTATCCAACTAAGTCATCATAGAACATCGAACAATGTATTATATAAACCATAAAATAAAATAAATGTTTCTTTCTTCTTATTATTGTATATGTACATACTTGTATGAATGATGGATGAGAACAGTAAAATACTGCATTGAATTATATACAATCAATAAATGCAAGACGAGATCTACTATCTTTCTTCATTGTCTTCTTTCTATGCGCATGCAAACAAACACGAACGAAAAGAATAGTCAGCTGTTGCTTGTTCTTTCCCTTTCTTCATACGAAAAACACAGAAATCTCTCGTTTTTATTCTTTGTACAAAACACAATACACACAAATACATAAAGATTTAAATTCGAGGACAAAAAAGATTAAATTCCACTACGAAATGGTGTATTTCTTTTTGGTGTCGATGCTGTTTGTATACGATTAAATGGTGTAACAATTCGATTTCTTATTGATGGCGTTGAACCTGCCGCATTAGCTTCTTCTTTCATTCTATTTAATTTTTCCTGTGCAAGACGCATTTCTTCTTCCATCGTTGATCGTTCTGATGTTTCTTTTCGCGCACGTTCACCACGAGTTTTAAGTGAGTCTTTGAGACTAAAAAACATCGGTCCAAGTTCAGCGAGCCAATGACCATCAACACATGTTACACATTGCATGTATTCCTAGAATATCAGATAATATTTAAATATTATTTTGTTAACTTAAAACATACTTTTGTTGTCATGATAAGTTCATGATAAACAATATAATCAGGTGTAAATCCACAACCAAATAATGCACTAGTCGGATGTAAATGGCATGGCATACCTGTACGTAAATTAACATACTCTCCGATACCCTTAAAAAGTCAAACAAAACAAAATAATAATAATAATTGCAAAACGAATACGTTAACTATGAATACATACTTTAAGTCGAGCTGCTTGATGAAAATACGCAGCACAAATACATTTTCGTACAACATCCCAATTGCCACATGATTTCACATCTAATTTTTGTGAATCCATGATATCTTTTAATTGTTGACGAACTTCACGAACTTTTCGCATAGCTTTAGCGTGAATAAAATGATCCGAACACCAATTATTTGAGTAGCCACTCTTTTTCCATTGAATATAAACATGAAGAAATGTTAGATGATCACTTTCGGCGACTTGAAATTTTTCTCGTTTTGCATCGGATTCTTCTTCTTTTCCTTTTGGTCGAAAAAAGATGGATGGAACAGATAACATTGATACAATTATCTGAAATTAAAATTTCAATGAAACAACATCACAAAAAGGACACCAATCAAAGAAAGACTTACAAGAATTTCACTACTACAACTCATTCCAACAGAAGTTATCAACATTTGTGATAGCGCTGGATCAAGTGGAAATTCAACCATTTGTCGACCTAATTGTGTTAATGAACCTGTATTATCTAATGCACCTAATATCCATAATTGATACATAGAATTCATTAAGTTATCCTATGACAAAAAAAAAAGAAATTTGTTTTATTTTTTATAACAAAATCCAAGAATTACTTGTGGAGGTGGATCCATGAAATGAAATTGAAGAAGATCTTGTATACCAAGTGATTTTAGTAACAAAACAACGTTAGCTAAATTGGTTCGCTGAATTTCAGGTACATTTGTTTTGAGCATTTCTTCACGAAAATTACGTTCTGTATAGAGACGGAAACATTGTCTAGGCAAACAAAAATGTATTGATATTGTAGCATATTTTTTATTATATAAAACTGCAGTTAATCTTGCATATGTTCTTTGCTGTTACAAAATATGCATGAAGGATTTCTGTCAGAGATTATGTATTTCAGAACTATCGATCCATAGTGACATAACAAGGATTTTTACGGTAGAAATAGGTCAGACTAGTCAATCATTGCTGAAGGACAACTGAGAAGAATAAATTTATGATAATCGTAACAGATGCAATGCGCTTCAGTAAACTTTCAACGTTTTCTTTTCTTTTTCTTATAGATAGCGTACATTTGGCAAAGGATGAATGACATAATATTATCTGTCGTTTTCTTTAATACTATTAGGAAAATCTTACCCCGGCCCTGTTCGACCAGCTCGACCCATTCTTTGATTAGCATTTGCTTGACTAACTGGATAAATTTGTAAAGCATCCATACCAATACGTGGATTGTATACTTTTAATTTACAATAACCCGAATCCACAACATACATAATACCATCGACTAGACAACGTAAACAATGAATCAATGATTTACATCTCAAAACTTGAAAAACGTTATTTTACATACCTGTTAATGATGTTTCAGCAATATTTGTAGCAACAACACATTTTCGAATGCCATCATCGGCTTTTTGAAAAATTTTTGCTTGTAAATCACTGGGTAATTGAGAATAAATTGGTAAAATACTTAATGGTTTGGCACCTTCAAGATCGCTCAAGCGTTCTGAAGAAAAAAATCCAAAGGACAAAGTTTATATTAGAATATAAAATAAATATTTCAATATACAAACCTTTGATTAATTCACACGTAACCTCAATATCTTCTTGGCCAGGCATGAAAACAAGAATATCACCTAGAAAAAAATAATTTTTACGATAATGATTGATTTTAATTTAGCAAAAACAAAATAAACACTAACCATCTCCAGCACCCAAATGTATTTGAATACATTGTTTCACAGCTGCATCGACATAATCTTCAACACAAGCTTTGCTAAAGAATGATTCAACTGGAAATGTTCGACCGGGTATGATAAAAATGGGTACATTGCCGAAAAAATCACTAAATTTCTCTGAATCCATTGTTGCCGATGTGACAATTAGTTTTAAGTCTTGACGACGGGAAACAACTTCTCGTAGAAGACTTGAAAAATAATGAAATACAAATAGCTTGAAAAATATTATAGAAAATATAGTTACCCAAAAAGAACATCGGTATTCAAACTACGCTCATGAGCTTCATCCATAATGACAGCTGAATAATGATCAAGATCTGGATCTGTCAAGCTTTCACGTAGTAAAATACCATCTGTCATGTATTTAATAATAGTTTTCTAATTAAAAATAAAAATGAAAAATTTTGAACTTCTAATCATAAACTTTTACCTCTGATGTACAATCTTCAAATCGAATAGCATATCCGACATCATCACCGAGTTTACAATTCATTTCTTCGGATACACGTTTTGCAACGGACATAGCAGCAACACGACGTGGTTGTGTACATCCAATCATACCACGTTTTGTGTATCCACATTCATGAAGATACTGTGCAGATAACGAAGAAAACATTTTATATTATATTGAATATTTCAAAACTATTTTATAAAACGCTCAACTTATGTATTACAAATCGTATAAGGTTTATACGAAAAGTGAATTGTGCAAATCGAAGAAATGGAAATTTCTTATTTCATAAAGAGTCGTTTACATCACATGTATATATATATATATTAGCTTGTTCTAGTATTGATCACTTAATTGTTTTAAAATCAGTCAGTAACGAACAAGCAGAATAATCAAAATGATTTGAAGGGTCTAAATACTATGTATCCTCCACAAATCCCCGATTGAAAACTATCGGAATGATGCAGTTTCCACTCAGAAACTACGAAGTAGGAAATTATTTCTTCGGGGCTAATTGATATTATTAAAAAAAAACATGTACTGAATTTCTATGTCGTAGTCTCTATCATTTTCTGCATTCTACCAGCTTTACTGCATTTATAAGGGACCAGCAATGCTCGTTCAATTATTTACTATTCTCAAATTAACTAATATTGCAATATAGAACAAACACGATAGCATATTTTTTATCGAAAAGGAAAGAATGAAGAAATCCATTTGAATTATTGAAATATCTTATTTGTTTGTTCAAATATTTTGCTACAAGCTCATCAAACAATAATTTTGAATTCTAACAAAATTTACTATCGCATATTGAACTTTGTTAACGATCTGTTTCTATTCAAATTAATAATATCTGCGTAGTTATATCAGCATGCTTTTCAGATAAAAAATTCGTCCATTTCTCAAAAATAAATCTATGGGTATTGTATTTTCTAACAATTTCAGAAAGTATTTTTAATTTTGTTGTTGTATGAGAACCCTGATCAGAAGGAAATTTGAGCAAAAACAATTGTCACTTTAAGTTTTCTCTATAAATACGTTAATTCAAAAAAAAAAAACTTTACAATCACCAAACAATATCTACAAGATATTTTATTTTTGAGACAGCAGAAAATTGCTCTCTTCTTCTTAGACTATGCAATACATGTTTTATCAGCATTGCTATTGTTTTACATTTTTATTAGACATAGGTTGTCTAAAAAGATACTTTTATAAATACAAATCGTTCAAAAATTAATCAAATTTTAGAAATCCATAGTTTTTAAATACTGAGAATGCATATAAAGCTAGCATTCTTTTTGTCTAAGATTTTTAAAACAATAAGATCTACGTATCAATTTAATTTACGATCTTCTCCAAGTCGTTTTAGTATAGAAATTCTCTTGCTATGACTTTCAAGCTAATAAAATACTCTAACTAATGCGCATATTAATCATCGTATTTTATTTACTTGATTTAAAAGTAAATAAATTTGTTTCTTCAAAACTTACTTGAGTCATTTGTGTTGTTTTTCCTGATCCAGTTTCTCCAACACATATGATAATGCTGTTTTCTCTTATAATTTTTAACAGATCTTCTCTAATAGCATAAATTGGTAAAAATTTTCTTTGCTCATCAAGTGTTTTTTTTTGAGCAAAGTCTGAGACAGCCTCATTTTTTTCTTGCATATGTGCCGCAAATTTTTGTGATTTTTTATAATCAACATCTTCTGACTGGTCGTCTTTTTGATCGCGGCGTTTTATACCCAATATATTGCCTAATTTTGTTCCACCTAATTCAAATTTTTCTTGTGCTAAACGTCGTTCTTTTTGTTCACGGTACTTTCGCACCGATTGACACCCTTTACGGCAAATAATTGCCATATCTGATGTTGGATCTTTGACAGGAATAACTGGTTCGACTAGAATACAAAACAAAACAAAAAAGACTTTTTTGCTAGAAAAAGAAAACCAAATAGAAATAACAAACATTGCCGAGTAAATTTGATTCGACCATCAAGAAATGGTGGAACAAGATTGGTAACAAGTAAATGTACACGACTTTCACTTTCATCATCAAAATCTTGTTCATAACTAACTTTTGTTACAACACCACTTTGAATCATTCGATTTGTTTCCCATTTTTCAATGTCCTTAATGTAAAGTTATTAAGATAACAAAAAGATAAAATTAAAATGAGTCATACTTGATTTATTTGCCGTTGTTGGGCAGACATACGCGTTTTCTTTCGTTGCTCTAATGCTTGTTCTTTCTTCTTAGTATATTCTTCACTAACGTTAGTCAATGGATTCAATTCATCGTCAATCACATCTTCATTATTGTACCATTCACGATCAATACGCTACAAAAAAATCATGTTTTTTTCTTTTTAGAAATTTTAATTAGATAGCTACTTTCTGTTCTTCTTCCCAATTACGTCGATCATCCTCATCAAACTCTTCATGTTTGCTTTTACGAAAACTGGGTGTCGGTAATGGTGTATCATTACGTTTTCTAAATTGATCAAAAAAATTAATTTCTTTCTTTTGAAGATTTATACTAATAAAGAAATCAATATTTTATTGCAAAATCTTTACAACCAATAATGTTAAAATTCAGTGAGCAGTCGATTTATTTGTGTGTTACTACAGTGAAAGAAAACATCTTCGCTTCGTATTTGTTTTAGGTACTATAACAAAGTTATCAAGTATCTCGCTATTGATCTATCTTAATATTCCTAAGAGAAAACAACGTTTACAAGTTGATCACAACGAATTATGACGATTTTATTTCTTTATTAAACCTGAAGTCTTCGGGAAGTCGTGTGAACCAGTTTACTTTAGAGAGAATGGCTAATGAAAAGAAAGTGCTCTATACACTAGAATATGAACGTAGCCGTCTGTATTGACTAAAGTAAACTGAAATTACAATAATACAGTTGATAATTCGATGTTTATAATAATAATGTTTCCTTATTACATATTAACAAGAAGGGAAAATGATGCGAATATACGCGAAAAATGCATTTCTGTAAAAACGAAAGTGACTCGATTGATTAACCTGATCTGACATGGTAATCCATACACACACACTCAATTTATTCGGAGAAAAAGAAACCCGGCGAAGATGAAATTCACCAAACAAAGTCACTATCATAGAGCATAGTAAAAATCTTTTGAGATTACTGGAAAGTTGCGTAAGTCAACAAAATTAATTTTTATTTCTAATATGCACTGATTACGCAATAACTCTTTGTAAATAGAAAATTTTTCTACAAACAAACATTTCAAATCATGAAGTTTCAAAACCTTTTTGAAACTGCAGAATTGTGAAAATTCGCATAGATTCTGTTGGTAAGTTATCGCAGGAGATTATTGTTTCGTAGTGATATTTTCTATATCTCAAAGAGATCAGAAAATTTGTGGTCAAGTCTCAACGATTAGAAAAGTTTTCTTTTTCTCTTAAATCTGAAGATTCGAGTGTCATGTAAATTAAGCATAAATAATCTATCATAGATTATTCTATTTTTACCTATTATAATAATCAGTATCACGATGTTTTCGATAGCCTTGCCGGTTATAACTATCATTTGGACTTGGATACTCCCATTGAGATCGTCGTTTATCCGAATCATCATCATCCCATGCTGCTCTTGATGGGGATTCTAAGCGAGAAAAAGAACAAATTATTAGTGTTTCTAAATTTCATTTCAAGAATATTATTTTTGTTACCTCGACTACCACGAATATTCGGTGTAGCATATCTATTGTCATCATCGTCATCTTTATTATCACGATTTCGATCTATAGTTAAATGAAATAATTATTAGAAAAAACAAAAACAAGAACCACTTACATGGTTTACTTCCTTCTTTGCCGTACACCAAACCACGTTGCTTAGTTTTAGGTGCTAATCTAGACTTTTCATAGAGATCATGATGTGATGATCGCGTCGATGAAGGAGTATCGACTCTTTGTTCTCGTAGATGTCTTGCTTTTTTACTATCAGATGTGTTCTTTTCATCATCGACTTCGTCAAATGATGATGTTTTAGAACGTTTTGCTGTTGTTGATGATAATGATGATGCGAGTGATTGCACACGACGTTTTTCGGCTGCTAATATATCAAGACCAAAAGATGATGGAATTTGAGGAACTTTGAAAACATGTTGATCATCAGACGATATTGCTTGAGCTTTCTTTTTAACAATTAAACCACCTGTCTGCTGATCATCAGTACCAGGAAGGCGGTGAAGACCATTTTGATCGTCGTTTTTCTCTGATGACATCTAAAATAACAATTTAAAAAGTGATCCTTTTCTGTGTGATTATTATTTTCCAATGTAAGACATGTAATGTAAGATGAGGAAATCACAAAAAATTTCGGTTATCTCCATTTCAATGCTCTGCTATTGGTTAAATGATAGACTAATGCAAAGGCATGCTAGATGTCGCACAATCACAAGAATATATTATATTTATATTTAGTAATTAATTATTAACACTTATTGTGCAGTCGTGTTCTGTTCTGGTATAATTGTAAGTAAGAAACAATAATATATTCTATAATAAAATTAGAATGCTACTTTTTATATGTATGTCACAATGTATCAATATAAGATAGATATTTTAATTTCAATTAAACAACATATTAACTTGAAATATCTCTTATTGTGCTTGTATAATTCAAATTAATTGTTAAACTATAAAGAAAAATCACTCATTTCAATATATCTTTCATAATATAAATTTTTATTCATTTTAAAATCGAAAAAACATGTTCCTATGTAATGTAACATAAGTGTTGTCTTCAGTATGACGTGAGATGTTTATTTCACGTGTCATCCATTTTGTTTCTGTCTATCTCTAAACACAAATCCTCTTAGCGACTATATATTGAGTGTCCGCAGAGAATGGAAAACACAACGAGGAAATATTCTCATCGATTATTTAAGAAAAAGACTGAAAGTTCGTTTAAAATAGAGTTTCAATGAAAACGTTCATTGCATATAAATGCATGGTAGAACAATAAGTAAACCATAACACTTCACTCATAAAAAGAAGAAAGAGGAAAACTTAAAAAATTGAAAATGAATACCATCATATAGATAACAATGAAAGTCTTGCGTGATCATTCGAAGAAGATCCAGGTTACATAACATATCATATGAAATATTAAATGAGTGTCATATTCAGTTTTTGTATGAAGATAAGAATCTTAACTGTTTCATAAAAAAAAGTCGAATACTTGTTGACATAGTATGATATTTTATATTAATAAGTATTAATCAATATATTGTTCTAAAGACTACTCTAAATATTATTGTTAAATAAGATTCTAAATTTTACGAACAAATTATCTTCATAGTGAACGTATGTTAATATTGGTAGTGATTATGACGTTCTGAATTATATACTTTTAAGTTTTATTTCGTTGACATGTAGGTGCCATAGATTATTACTTGTCGGAGTTGTCAAATTTTTCCTAAGAATGAAAGAAAAAGTGCAATTGACTTTGAATGAGAATTCTATATTGTATCACATTGGATTCAACAATCGGTAATGAAATTTGATAGATTTCATATATAATCAATCGGAAAAAAATACTAGTTAAAAAAGTAAATTTTAACTAGACCAGAAACAATATTCCATAACAAATGTGATTGAATAGCATTTATGTAAAAAGTGTTTTTCATCTTATCGTTCATTAGTTATAATAATATGACTAATAATATAGAATAGAAGTATTGTGGTATGCAAATATCATAGTTTGGTCTTTCTTGAACCGTTGTTTGAATAATTACTATAATCATATTACATGAAAAGAATATGGTTTAATTTTTTTCATAGCAATCCATGATTTTGAGTCTAACATTCATCTTTGGATTGTGTTTCTTTTTGAAGAAATGAAAAATATAAATATATGTCAGTAACAATATATATATATATATATAAAGAATGGGGAAAAATTTAACACAAAATAAGAAAAAAAATAAATCATAGAAGAAAAAAGATTTATAACATCACCGAATTGTCATATTTGTTGCAATAGGCATATGTTCATTGGCATCAATAATAAGAGTATCCATATTATTTTCAGCATGACGACGATTATTAGTCCAATTATCAAATAGATGATAGCGCGTACTAGATGATTCCCAATCATCACTAGCCGATTCAAGTGAATAAGTAAATTGTCTTCGTCTTTGACGTTTTCGTTGAAAATAAACAAAAGCAACAGCAATAACAACGGAAACAATAATAAGCAATAATCCGAACACAATGATTGTGGTTACAATACCACCACGAATAGTTCTAGTTTTATTTTGCGATGGTAATTTTCCATTGGATTCTATTCAAATGAAAAACAATTTTTTTTTCTAAAAACTAGTACAATATAATATTTTTCTATATACTTTTACATCCATATTCGTCCATCCCTTGCGGACATGAGTGATAGCCGTCACAGTGATATGTTTCGTCGATGCACCATTTATCTTGATTTGTTGTTACACAAAGATATTGATTTGATCTACATGGACCTATAAAGAAAGAATCTATTTTCCATTAGCATACTATTTTTGATTAAATACCTTTTGATATATTTGCTATTAATATCTCAAACGGTTGTATATCAAATTGACATAAACTAAAAGTAATTGGTAAATTTATTATGTCTGATTTAAGATATGTGCGGTTAGATGATAAATAATTGAAAAATTTTATCAGCTCTCTTTGTTCGTTATATATTTGAAACGATGGATGCATTTGTGACATGTTCAGAATATTTACTGTTATTTGTTCAGATGAATTTGACAACGATAACGATTTAACCAATGTTATATTGCAACATGACGAATACAAAGAAGGTTGATATACAATTGATGGTGATAGCGATGGTAAATTGAGCGATTGATTACAGAAAGACGTGAATTGAGCTGCAAAAATAAAAATAATATAAAAAAATCAGTTTTTTTTTCTTTGTTTACCTTGTGAACTATTTGAATCAATGCTTTGAATAAGACCTAGTAACCACCAGCACCAAATCTGAATTATTCGCGTATTTGTCATTGCTTAAATATTTTTTTACTTAGCAAAAAAAACAGTTTTTTTTCTTTTACTCGAATAAGTATTACATCGTAATGCAAAATGCTACTTCTTGATTGTCAAATCAGCTACGCATGCTTCTCTTGTTCTCGTTTTTCTTACGGCCTACAATAAGAAAGAAATGAATCGGGTTTATTTTTTTCTCTCTCGTCTTTTTTTCGATGACGATAATGATGAATCAGCATCGAAAATACGAGTACGACCAGAAAAAGAAAAAAAAAGAACAACGAAGTATATTGTACGTGCTTTGGTTTCACCTTCGGCAGTTTCTATACTATCGTTCTAACATCATCATCATCATCATCATCATCATCACTACTTATAATGGTGTTAAGATGGAAAGAGAAGAACACAAAAAAAAGACGACGGCCTACATACAGCAGAAAATGTCATTGACGAACATATCTAGGAGAAAAAGAAAACAGATAAAAAAAAAGAGACCCGAAAAGCCCGAAGAAAAGAGAAAAAACAGAACAATAATAAAATCATGCTTATACACAAGACTAAATATTTCAATGGATAATAAAGTTTCTTTCTTTCTTTCATTGCGTTATCCCTATGCGTATTTTCTATTGACGGAATTCCATATCGAAAATCATTTTCAAATATTCTTTCGTGACACTAGAATTAATTATGATACGTCTCATGTCTATAGCTACATATTGAAAGAGAAAGTCTACGTATTGAAATGCTGTATGAAATATTAATATTCTTTTCTCAAGAAAGATTGAATGAAAATAATGAAAATTGTCACATAAACATTCAAAACGTTCAAATCTAAAAATACAACTTTCATCTATCTATCTGATAGTTTCTGACACGAAAACCTTTGTCATCAAATTTTGACCTGGAAAAAGCCTTATTTCGTAACGACAAATAATTTTTACTATAATGAGCAATCGGCATTGTATTGATATTATTTTCAACGCTTTGGGCTATTTTTATTTCGTTTTAATCGCACTCATTCCGTAATGGATATTTTAGAATAGTAGTGCTTTCGACAGAATTTTAAAAATCTTCTAAGTTGTAATGTTTAGTATGTTAGAAGTGTATGATATATTCTGTTTTGAAAGATTTAAAAGTCGTGTAAAACCAGCAAGATCTAATGGCTTCATGTATTTAAGATAGGAATTTTCCTAAATATCTTTCTATTGAACACTTTTTTTTTTTTTTTATAAATTTCATCTTGTGCAGAATTTTATTTTCTACAAATTTCATTTTTGGACGACGCAAAGAATATCATATTCATAATTAACACTTAGCATTATAATGAATATCAGTTTTTTAAAGCAAAATTTTTAATCAATTACTTCTTTATCATCTGATATACGGCAGTATAAAACAAATAGATTGTTCATGTTTTTACATATTTACATAGATCTAATTCTAACGTAGATGTTAACTAATTTTAAAGTTGTAATTATATTTGATCATGAAATATAATGTTCAATTATTTTCTCCAGCAAAGACTATTAATTCAAATAAATAGTTAGAAAACGAATTAAATAGTTTTGTTTCTTCTGGTGCCAGGGACGGCGCGAACAAGGGGGGGTTCTCCCCTCTTACTGTGGAAATTTTGACTTCAGTTTCCCTCCGACTTGAAGAAAATAGAAGAGATTTTTCCTCCTAAATTAAAGATAATCTCTCACTAATAGAATAAAATTCAGAGGTATTTTCTGAGGAAAAAAGGAAGTTAATCTGAGACTTTGATTCGGAAAAATTTTAGTGTTCAGGCTTCATGAATTTTGGAAATATTTCTTGCAGTTTTCTGAAGATGGAAATGGGAGGTTTTTCCTCTTTTTCTTTCCTAAAACAATTTCTAGTAAAAAAAAGGCAACTGATAACAATTATAAGAACAAATTGGTATATAAATTCTGTGTTTGTGATAATGTAAAATAACAATTTCTTCTACTTCATTGATGCATAATTAGTCACAGTCGGATTGATTAACCAAAGAAAAATGCGAATCAGTTCCTTTAGTACAGAATACTATACCCTAGCCTACTCTTCCCAGACGAATCCCCAAGAAGTCTCCGTCAATATTCGAACTTTTGAAGAGTCCCTGTCATGAGTCCTCGGGGAGTTAAGAAAAAGATGAAAAAATTTCTATCGAAACTATCAGAAACCTAAGTAAAATATCCGAAAGCGTCTTCAAAAATTTCCGAGGAACTTCTAAAAAATGACTAGGGAGTCCCTGTAGAAGTCCCTATGAACTCCCTGTCCACTCCCTAGGATTTCGAAGGGACTCCCCAGCCAGTTTTTAGAAATCAGTCAGAAGCTTTTGAATACGCTTTCAGATTTTTTACGTAGGTTTTTGATGGTTTCGATAGAAATTTTTTCATATTTTTTCTTAACTCCCCCGGGTCTCATGACAGGGACTCCCTGAGGATTCGTCTGGGGAGAGTTGAATAGGGATAGAAAAACATTTCGACAAGTTATCGATCAACTAATTACAGAATACAAACAACTTGTAATGCCTATGGATATAAATATTGAGTCTTTAGCAGCATTATCTCCTGAATATATCCTGAAGTTTACTGCTTCAGATGCTGATAATATAAGTAAAATGGTACAGATTAATGGCAGTGTCTTGTTGTACATCGAAGTACAATTATTTAAAGAAAAAATATATGAATGTGAAACGGTTGCTCAGGCAAGTAAATTTATTCATGAACGAAAATCATTTATTCCATTAATTACTCAAGTGTACCAATATCTTTTAACAGTTTATACTAGAGTGCATGTACCTAATAAGAACGGGGATTTTTTATGTTCATGTTTCGACTATAATATCTCTGTGAAATAGTGAGCAAATGAGCTGAAATTTTGCATCAAAATAGAAAAAATTCT